ATCTCCTGGCCAGGGATTCACCCAGAACAGCTGGATGAGGAGAGGAGTCATCTAGGGTCTGGGATGGTACAACAGAAGATGCCGGCTAGCTCACCAAAAAGGAAAGCCATTACCATTGCCATTACCCGTGGGCGTCCCATACACCCGTCAACCCATCCAAGTTCAATCCTCTAATAAAACCTCAAAACCAAGCTCAAGGACTGGTTACTGTCTCCTGGATGCAAGTCTGAAAGAAGGAAATGCGTGTTGCCTGGCCGTGCCGGACTATAGAGGACTACAAACTACAGGCAGAGTACCTTGGAAGGAGGAAAGCTGAGGACTTTACTGGCCCCCAGAGCGAGGACCACCTGTACAGCAGGGAAGGCCTGGACTTCACAGAGACAGGACCACCTGTGCAGCAGGGAAGGAACATCCTAGATAGAAGGTCTGGACTACACAGAGAGAGGACCACCTGTACAGCAGGGAAGGAATGGCCCAGCTAGAAGGCCTGGTAGTAGCCACTGACCCATCAGAAGCACAGGAGAAGGACCGAGTGAATAGACCTGCACCCCCTGGACCAGATAGGGGAAGGAGCACTCTGGTGGGAAATTGGATTTGCTATCTTACCCGGGACTGTTCACACTGCGGTGGCCGGCACTGGATCCCCTGGCTAGGGATTCACCCAGAACAGCTGGATGAGGAGAGGAATCATCTAGGGTCTGGGGTGGTACAACAGAAGATGCCGGATAGCTCACCAAAGAGGAAAGCCATTGCCATTACCTGTGGGCGTCCCATACACCCCTCACCCCATCCAAGTTCAATCCTCTAATAAAACTTCAAAACCAAGCTCAAGGACTGGATACTGTCTCCTGGATGCAAGTCTGAAAGAAAGAAATGCGTGTTGCCTGGCTGTGCCGGACTATAGAGGGACCCAAACTTTGACTCCTAAAGGGAGTAGCGCTACACAAGTTCAGGAAATACTTCCATTGTTATCACCCACCAGGTCGATATTCATTTATCCAGACCCAATTCATATCCCGCCTCTCCACTAATTGGCTGATTGGCTTTATTCGGGGATTTTAGGCGCTCCGGCTTTAGAACACAACCTTCTGTTTCCTAATGAGACGCACGTCCTTTTTCATCGTTAACATTCCGCTTTCAACTCGGGAATAATCCTTTTTTCCTTTTTATGGTGAAATGTAAATAAAATTTGGAACTTTCATGCTGAGCCAGACGGAAGCCTGATTTCTGAAAATTAAGCCTCTTACGGGAGGCAGACGGCGGTTAACCCCTTCCTGGGGCGCCTTGTGCGCATGCTGTCTTCAACAATAGCTTGATACTTGACCTGCTGTGTTTACAGGGCCCCCCATCTGATGACTGATATCGGGGGGCTGCCCCCAGGGTGGGCAAGGAACAGTTTATAGCAGAGAGGGGCCCGGGAACAGAGAGGACGGCTGCTCAGTCCTCTGGGAAGGTTTTGGCCGCCTTTCATCGCAGGATCCGGAGTCTTTGCGCACATGTGGTATTAATCAAGGGGGGGGGGGGAATTTCTGAAATCCCATGGCGGTGTCAGGGGGGCTTTGGATGAAATCATGGCACCGCGCTCTCTCCATCTTCGAAGCCTTTGTGCAGCAAAATGAAAACAGTCGCCGTTTGACACTGATTGAACTTGTCGGAGATTCAGGGTTTGAGGCTGAGCGTAGCTTAACCTTGAAAAGGGACCTTCGTCAGGGGGGCTGAAGACTTCCAATTGTAAGAGGAATTAAAGGGTATGTACACCCCAACCATCAACTTCTCGTATTTGCTCCTTTTGTGTGTCTTAAACTCCAGATTCTCATGTATGGTCAGTATTGGGGTATACCTTAACCTTGAAAAGGGACCTTCGTCAGGGGGGCTGAAGACTTCCAATTGTAAGAGGATTTAAAGGGTATGTACACCCCAACCATCAACTTCTCGTATTTGCTCCTTTTGTGTGTCTTAAACTCCAGATCCTCATGTATGGTCAGTATCGGGGTATACTTTACAGTTCGAGCCAGGGACACGTAAATCTGGCCATTAATCTCCAAATTGGTGTCTTTGTGGGTTATTATGTTAATTAGGGGGATTGGATTGGAGGTCAGGCAGGGTCCCGGGACAGGTCATCTTTAATACCCTACTCATGAACCTATAATAACTGTTATCTGATGTTTGTTCATCAGTGTTGTCAGATGTTAAACGACCATATTGTACACTGTATAGCATGAGGGACCTGACAGCACATTGCAGTCCCTGCACTTCTGCCCCTCCCTCTTCTTGCTCTATGGACTTCTACTGACATCACCACAATGGTGACATCTAAGTTCCCAACCTGAGCTGTTTCCCTGCTGTAGACCCATCCAAGTATTTCCACCTTCTGCCTATCAACTAATAAAGCTGGCACTCCCACTGCAAGTCTGATTTCAACTTTCAGCTGAGATATGCCAAATATCTGGTATAAACCAGATTTTCAGGGAATTACTGAATTGGTAAACGATTTAATGACTTTTGAAAGTATCCCCATGTGCTTCACTGGGATATGACTAATTGGAGGCTCTGGGAACCCCCAGGCACCCTCCTCCATTATGTCTAATCCGAGGATCTGGGTACCCCGTCACCCTACTCTATTACGTCGAATCTAGTGATCTGGGTACTCTTAGGCACCCTGATCGCCTGTTATATGTAATCTGGGAATCTGGGTACCTCCAGTCACCCTCCTCCATCATGTCTAATCTGAGGATCTGGGTACCTCCGGTCACCCTCCTCCATCATGTCTAATCTGAGGATCTGGGTACTTCCAGTCACCCTCCTCCATCATGTCTAATCTGAGGATCTGGGTACTTCCAGTCACCCTCCTCCATCATGTCTAATCTGAGGATTTGGGTACCTCCAGTCACCCTCCTCCATCATGTCTAATCTGAGGATCTGGGTACCTCCGGTCACCCTCCTCCATCATGTCTAATATGAGGATCTGGGTACCTCCGGTCACCCTCCTCCATCATGTCTAATCTGAGGATCTGGGTACCTCCAGTCACCCTCCTCCATCATGTCTAATCTGAGGATCTGGGTACCTCCAGTCACCCTCCTCCATTATGTCTAATCTGAGGATCTGGGTACCTCCAGTCACCCTCCTCCATTATGTCTAATCTGAGGATCTGGGTACCTCCAGTCACCCTCCTCCATTATGTCTAATCTGAGGATCTGGGTACCTCCAGTCACCCTCCTCCATTATGTCTAATCTGAGGATCTGGGTACCTCCAGTCACCCTCCTCCATTATGTCTAATCTGAGGATCTGGGTACCTCCAGTCACCCTCCTCCATTATGTCTAATCTGAGGATCTGGGTACCTCCAGTCACCCTCCTCCATCATGTCTAATCCAAGGATCTGGGTACCCCAGGTCGCTCTGCTCTATTATGTCTAATATTTTGGGGATATTAGAACCCTCAGCTACCATACTTTTTGTCTAATCTGTGGATCTGGGTACCCACAGTCACCCTCCTCCATTATGCATAATCTGAGGATCTGGGAACTCCCAGTTACCCTACTTTTTTTATGTCTAATCTGAGAATCTGGGGACCCTCCCCCCGTCACCCACCTCCATTATGTGTAATCTGAGGATGTGGAAACCTCCAGTTACCCTACTTATTTATGACTCATCTAGGGATCTAGGTACCCCCAGTCACCCTCTGGCATTATGTGTAATCTGAGGATATGGGGACCCCCAGTCACCCTACTCTGTTATGTGTAATGTAACAATCTGGGAACCTCCAGTCACCCTCCTCCATTTTGACTAATCTGAGGATTTGGGAACCCTGAGTCACCCCACTCCACTATGTCTAATTTTAGGATCTAGGTACCCCAGTCAGCCTACTTCTTTATGTCTAATCTAAAGATCTAAGTATCCAAGTCACCCCACTTTTACAGTGCCTTGAAAAAGTATTCCTACCCCTTGAAATTTTCCCCAATTTGTCATGTTACAACCAAAAACGTCAATGCATTTTATTGGGATTGGATGTGATAGACCAACACAAAGTGGCACATAATGGTGAAGTGGAAGGAAAATGAGAAATGGTTTTCAAAATTTTTGACAAATCTGTGAAAAGTGTGGCGGCATTTGTATTGAGCCCCCCGGAGTCAATACTTTGTAGGACCCCCTTTCCCCTGAAATTCCAGCTGCAAGTCTTTTTGGGGATGTCTCTCCCAGCTTTGCACATCTAGAGAGGGACATTTCTGCCCATTCGTCTTTGCAGAATCGCTCAAGCTCTTTCAAATTGGATGGAGAACGTCTGTAAACAGCAATTTTTAAGTCTTACCACAGATTCTCCATTGGATTTAGGTCTGGACTGTGACTGGGCCATTCTAACACATGAAGATGCTTTGATCTGAACCATTCCATTGTAGCTCTGGCTGGATGTTTAGGGCCATTGTCCTGCTGGAAGGTGAACCTCTGCCCCGGTCTCAAGTCTTTTGCCAACAGGTTCTCTTCTAAGATTACCCTGTATTTGGCTCCATCCAATTTCCCATCAACTCTGACCAGCCTCCCTGTTCTGCATCCTCACAACATGATGTTGCCACCACCATGTTTCAAGGTGGGGATGGTGTGTTCAGGGTAATGTGCAGTGTTAGTTTTCTGCCACACATCTGGGTACCCCCAGTCACCCTACTCCATTATGTCTGATCCGAGAACCCCCAGTCACCCTATTCCTTTATGTCTAATCTGAGTATCTGGGAACCCCCAGTGATTCTACTTCATTATGTATATTCTGGGAATCTGGGAACCCCGGTTTGTGGTGCAGTAGAGGAATATACAACCATGCCCACTGCAGCATCCTTCTCACATACACAAAGCCTGACCTTAAAACAATGTCGCTACCAAAATATTCATGGCTACTTCCCAAATTCTGACTGAGGAAATAATGTTAATGAATTGATTAATGAATTAACTCTTAAAATAATTCTCAGCAAATCATGACATTGTCCTACCTCTTCCCTTGCAGCGTCGGACATGGATCGCTCCTACACGCCATCACCACCAAATTCACCGAGCCTCCACAATGACAGCTGTAATATCGCTCCGCTCACCCCGTCACAGTCTCCGGTAAGTTGACACGGCATAATGTTCATTTTTACGGCACTTCTATACTCATTGTACTGAAATTCACATATAGGAACCCTGCCCTATGCTGGTGTGTCCCCAATTACATTTATTATGTAGCCAGCCTGAACATTGGTTTACCTCTTTGGGCTCTGCAGTTCTTTTCTAGCTTGCCTCTGCCTGGTGTTTAAGGAGGTTCCAGTAGTTAGAGTCGGAAGGACAGCCACTCAGTTACAACTATGTGTCTGACCCAACCAATTCCTGAGGTCCTTGTATGATTCTGGAGATGATAAATATCTAGGTCACCTTTATGGAGTGTTCTCTACCTCCTGGGCTTTTGCCTGCTATGTATAGAGTGGCTCCATACCTGGACCTTGCCTCAACCTAGACTATGTGCCAGAGGCATGGGGACTTAAGGTACCTACTAGAGTGGATAGCTTGGGACAGTTGGGCTTTCAGGGAATCTTCTTGCTGAAGGTTGTTCCAGAGGGGCTGGGTAGCGACTGCTGGACATAGTAAGTGGAATGATTGCCCACCAATCAGTGTTTTATGACTGCTATTGAGGGTAGAGAGTCAGATTTATTAGAGAGAGAACCACTGCAACCTAAGACTGGGACTGCTCTTACAGGGTGATAGATCCATGAGTTATGACCTAACCAATCCCTAAGGTCCTTGTTCAAAAATATGGTGTGGGAGATGGCAAATATTTGGGTCACCTTTCTGGGAGAGTTGTGTACCTCTTGGGCTTTTGCCTGGAGGGGATTTGTGTTTAGAGGGTTGCTCTACATGGGCCTTGCCTTAGCCTAGGGTATGTGACAGAGGCCCAAGGACTTAGGATTTGTCCCAGCTTTGGCCCAAATGAAGTGACAGGAAACATAAGGGATCAGCTTTAAAGCTGAACTCTCCGGCTTTTGTTACACTTTACATAGTTCATTTGGGCAAAGCTGGCCCAAATTAATTATGTCCCTCACTAAGATGTGAGGCCGCTGGATGTGCTGTATGAACTGTATGTAGCTGCAGTTACATACAGTATACAGCACTGTGTTTCGGGAGCAAGCCGAGACCTTCCTGCTTCCTAGAGTCTGTCTAAGCAGTGCTCAGCCAATCATAGAATGTGATATATTCTAGCAATGAATACAAAGCTTCCTCTGATTGGAGTCAGAGAGGCGGGCCAATGATGTCACAACCTCCAGTCAGAGGAATCTTTGTAATCATCGCTAGAATATATCGCTTTCTATGATTGAGATAGGAAAGTCTCGGCTCCCACCCAGAACACAGTGCTCTATGCTGTATGTAGCCTCAGCCACATACAGTTCATAGAAGCTACTGTTGGGCATTGCAAATCTCTGTGAATTTTTTTAAAATGCACTCCAATGTGTCCATTTTGCATTATCTTTTGTGTATTTGTAGCACTACCCCCTTAGGAGTCGCTGAGTTTTGGGTTCCTCTAAAGCTTTGCACAACCAGGCAACAGGCATTGTCCACACTTGCACGGTGAAGTCAGTAATCATTCCTTGAGCTTGGTTTTGATGTTTTATCAAGGGGTTTTGAACCTGGATGGGGTTGGAGGGTGCATGGGATGCCCAAAGAAACTGCAAGCTTGAGGACAACTCCCAGACATGAACAGAACAGTTTTTCTTCCTCTGAGAGTACTCCAGCTCTCTCCGATGCACCTCCCCAGACCACAGATGAATCCTCCTCCCCACTCAGCTGTCCAGCCCTCACTCCACCCTCCATTTGACACTACTCCCCTGCTGATTAGGCTCCCTCATACTTAATGGCTGTCCTGGCCCCATGCCAAGCCTCCTTCTTGGGAATTGGCCAAAATCCCTCGAATGTGCAAATCAGCACCTCCTCACCCCAACCCACTGACTTCTAGAAACTCCTCCAGCTGCTAGAGCAGGGGGGAGGTATCAGGGAACTGACCTGCAGAGTCCTCAGCCCTGACCTAAAATAACCTGGCTGACTCACATGCAGGCTAACTCATCCTAGGCTGCTACTCAGCCTATACCTAAAAAGAACTGACTAGCTCCCCTAGCTAAACTCAAGGGCGCTACATATTATTCTGCAGTGTATAAATGCTCTTTGCCATCCTGAAACTGTTTTGCATTCATAGTTCCTACTGCAAGTTCCATATACTCCCTCATCTCGTCTCATCATTGGGCCAATTACCTAGTTCATTCAAACATTAATGATTTAATAAAGATGCTTTTGCAAAAAAAAAAAAAGAATCCCTCCAATAAATTCAGCTGGTTTGGTTTTGTTTCAGGGGAGCGAGCGCCGGAGTATCCGAGTCCCTCAATTCTATGTGGTGGTGGCCATTGACTTTGGCACAACATCCAGCGGCTATGCCTTCAGCTTCTGCAAGGACCCGGAAGCTATTCACATGATGAGGTGAGATCTGAGACTTCTTACTAACTAGCGCCATTCCTATATGAAGTGCAAAACCTACAGCAACCAATCAGAAATAATCTTTTACAGATGTGAGCACAATAAGCTACAATTCTAATTGGAAGCTATGAGTCAGCTTGTCTATGACAACTTTCTGCTGCTCCAGTTCTGTGGAGGTGATGACTAGCTATTACACACAATGCAAACCATAGGAATGTGGACACGTGTGAACTTTTTCTTGTTTTTGCTGATCATCAGACTGAGGACAGTGGTAGAAACAAGTGCTGCAGGGAAAATCTGTGGATTGAGGGTGAATGTTGCAGCAAAAAGCTGATTTTGTCATTGTATCTTTTAATGGGCTATTCATTTTTACATAGTTATATTTGGCTGGAGTTCTGCTTTAAAAAGAACTTTTAATTTTCGAACACCCAGCACTTTGGAGTGCATATTAAGCCCAAACCTTTCTTTATCTTTTTAGATAGAGTAAGGAGGGGATATTCCCCCTGAGGTCATCACAGAGGACAAGGGGGCGCTCTTTACATCTGGAGGAAAAGAAATTTAATCTCCAAACACGGAAAGGTTTCTTCACAGTGAGAGCTGTGAGAATCTGGAATAGACTCCCTCAAGAGTTGGTTGTGGCCAGCTCAGTGGATTACTTTACAAACGTCCTGGATTCTTTCTTGGATACACAGAATATAACTGGATATAACATTTATAGGTAAAGTTGATCCAGGGAATATCCGATTGCCTCTCGGGGGATCAGGAAGGAATTTTTTCCCCTGCAGGAGGAAATTGGATCATGCTTAGCTGAGTTTTTTTGCCTTCCTCTGGATCAACTGTGGGTATAGGATTATAACTTTTTTTTTTTTTAATGGTTGAACTGGATGGACTTGTCTTTTTTCAGTCAGACTAACTATGTAACTATAAAACCCCTCTTAGATTGGGAGGGAGGGTGGTTGTCATCTGTGTCCTACTAGGGAGAGTTCCCATCACTTCCTGTTCTGTAGACTATACAGGAAGTGAGAGGAAATCTCTCCAAAGTGAAGGAAGTGTCCCCTTTGCCACCAGACCAAGTGTCCTCATTAGAAGATTTTCCTTCTATTCCTCTTCTAGTTGCAGCTGAAAATTTTACATTCACTTTCAAGCCTGATGACAATGGTCCTTAGGACTACTCTCTGCAGAGAGCAATTAAAACTTTGGGGAAGTGGATAAGAGGTTCTGGAAGCTGATGGTTTTTTACGTTTATTTTATATTATTGTTGTCATCCAATATCGTGGACTTGGTGTAAATATGGAGAATCTGAATTTTGGACTGGCAGCTTCTGCACACCGAAGGGCTTCTACGATCACCTTGGGCTGTGATAGGGTCAGATAACCTGAAAATGAGTTTCCATTGGCATGGCATTGGCTGCAACTGGGGGACTAAAGAATAGAAATACCTTTACTGGTCAGAAAACCTGAAAACGAGTTTCCATTGGCATGGCATTGGCTGCAACTGGGGGACTAAAGAATGGAAATACCTTTACTGGTCAGAAAACCTGAAAACGAGTTTCCATTGGCATGGCATTGGCTGCAACTGGGGGACTAAAGAATGGAAATACCTCTACTGATCAGAAAACCTGAAAATGAGCTTACATTGGGCATGGTGTGGTCACAACTGGGGGACTAAAAAATGGAAATGCCTCTACTGGTCAGATAAATCTCAACATTTGTCAACTTCTGCTCTCACATGCAGACCAATGTTCAGAATTTAAAAAATGCATCACAAATCCCTAAATCCATAGTTTTAAAGCCTGGTGACATAGGTCCTTAGGACTAATCTCTGGAGAGAGCAATTAAAACTTTGGGGACGTGGATACAAGGTTCTGGAAGCTGATGTTTCTTTATGTTTATTTTATATTATTGTTGTCATCCAATATCGTGGCCTTGGTGTAAATATGGAGTATCTGAATTTTGGATTGGCAGCTTCAGCACACCGAAGGGCTTCTACTATCACCTTGGGTTGTGATAGGGAGGAGAAAATTTAGAATTGAAGTGCCAAACTGTAAATATTCAAGTTCAAATACAAGTTTATTCCAGTGGTAAATTGTTTGCATATTCAACGCGTTTTTGGGGTTGTAACTCTCCTCCCTTCATCAAGGCTTGAGAAAATGAAAAAATGAACAGTGTGTTTGGACTCAATAATCTGTATAGAGTTGGATATTATTGGAGTGTATTGAAGTGTTTTGGGTTTGCACAGCATTCGTCAACAGCTGATTGAACCAGTTCCACTCCAAGGAGATCCAACTACATTTTGATTGTTGAGTCCATACACACTTTGTTTCATTTTCTCAAGTCTTGTTGAAATTACAGCCCCCGAAACGTGTCTCCTTTGAAAACAGTATATCACCGGAATAGGCTGAATATTTGCAAATTCTAAATTCACTTGACAGATACACTTCAAGCCTTGGAAAGGATGGGCTACAGTGGCAGACCAAGGTATCTGTTATACAGTACATCACATTGACATTTAGCTTTATCCCCAGAGCAATGGTTCCTCAACTATTAGCAGAGAACCTGAAAACTAGCTTACATTGGTATGGCATTGGCCACAACTGGGGGACTAAAGAACGGAAATACCTCTACTGCTCAGATAACCTGAAACCAAGTTTACATTAGGCATGGCATGGCCAAAACTAGGGAACTAAAGAATGGAAATACCTCTACTGGTCATATAAACTGAAAACAAAAACTTACATTGGGCATAGCATGGCCACAACTGGGGGACTAAAGAATGGAAATACCTCTGCTTTATTATTATTATACAGGATTTATATAGCACCAACAGTTTGCTCTGCACTTTACAATATAAAGGTAGACAATACAGCAACAATACAGTTCAATACAAGAGGGTTAGGAGGGCCCTGATCCTTGGAGCTTACAATCCAAGAGGTCTCTACTAGTCAGATAACATGAAAACAAGTTTACATTGGTATGGCATTGGCCACAAGTGGGGGACTAAAGAATGGAAATACCTCTACTGCTCAGATAACCTGAAAACAAGTTTACATTAGGCATAGCATGGCCACAACTGGGGGGCTAACGAATAAAATTACCTCTACTGCTCAGATAACCTGAAAAATAGTTTACATTGGTATGGCATTGGTCACAACTGGAGGACTAAAGAATGGAAATACCTCTACTGGCCAGATAACCTAAACACTGTTCAACAGGTAAAAAGTTTTGGGCATAAAATTAGCTAATCTTACATAATTTTGGGGTGCTGAAAACGAAAATGACCCTAAAAAATGTTGATTGGCTCTAGTTTCCATGATATATTCACCCATCTAATGACGTAAGCCATTCAAAATTATGATGCAACTTCAGCTGCATATTGCGCAATTGATACTGGTGACCAATAGAAAATTGCATGTATACTGAGATGATGCAATATTAGCCTTTAATTGCATCACTTCACTGCATAAAAGCTGCAGTATCTGTAGCTGATTGGAGTTCGACAGCGTCTTTACATTTCGTTTTATGCTTATATAGGCTACTCAGTAATGCCTCGAACTTGTGTGAATAAAGCAGATAATTTCTGCTATATCTGCGGTGAAATAACTTTTATCTCACAAAAAAGGAGGATAACAGGAATGATTAAGAAAGCCTACAACTTGTATTTTGGCTGCAAGATAGGAGACCAGGACAAGAGCTGGGCACCACATATATGCTGCAATTCTTGTGGGACGGCACTGGAGCAATGGTTGAATGGAAAAAAAGGCATCTATGCCTTTCGCTGTGCCAATGATTTGGAGAGAGCCAACAGATCATGTTAGTAATTGTTACTTTTGTATGGTGCCTCCAACAAAAGGGCTAAATAAGAAGAAAAAGTTATCTGTGCACTATCCAAATATTCCATCGGCAATACGTCCAGTTCCTCATGGAGAGGGGCTACCAATTCCTAAAGCACCAGAATCCTTCGTGGTTGAGTCAAGTGAGGAAGAACCTGAAGCGTGTAGTCATCAACCATCAACCTCACATGACCCAGACTTTCTTCCATCCACACCCACTGAACCACACCTCATTACACAAGTGGAATTGAACGATCTTATCAGAGACCTGGATCTTCCGAAGAACAAGGCAGAGCTTTTGGGGTCAAGACTACAACAGTGGAATCTCCTAGCAAGTGATGTTCGTACGTCTTTCTACCGTCATCGTCAGAAAGATCTGATCCCATTCTTCGTCCAGGAAGGTGATATTGCTGTATGTAACAATGTTCATGGTTTAATCTCAGCCATCGGCGTATGCTATGATCCCGATGAGTGGAGGCTGTTCATTGATGCTTCAAAGGCGAGTCTTAAAGCTGTTTTGCTCCATAATGGCAATCAGCTGCCGTCAGTTCCAGTTGCTTACGCAGTTTCAATGAAAGAAACGTATGAAAACTTGAAAGAGCTTTTAAGGTGCATCAACTATGATGAACATCAATGGTCGATTTGTGGTTACCTGAAGGTGATTGCTATCCTACTTGGACTTCAAGGTGGATATACTAAGTACTGCTGCTTCCTCTGTGAGTGGGACAGTCGTGCGAGAGAAATGCACTATGCCAAAAGAGACTGGCCATTACGCCAGTCATTGCAGCATGGAGAAAAAAATGTTAACTATCCAGCACTTGTAGACAGCAATAAGATCTTATTACCTCCATTACACATCAAGTTGGGATTAATGAAAAACTTTGTTAAGGCAATGGACAAGAATAAAGCAGGTTTCAAGTACCTGATTAGCAAATTTCCAGCACTTAGTGCTGCAAAAATAAATGAAGGAGTCTTTGTTGGGCCACAGATTCATAAACTTATTCATGATGATGAGTTTCTTTCTCTGTTGCGTGGAAAGGAAAAGGCTGCCTGGACAGCATTTGTATCAGTGACATCAAATTTTCTTGGAAACAATAAAACACCAGACTACAAGAAAGTGGTAGAAAAACTCATCCAGACTTACAGAAATCTGGGTTGCAACATGTCTCTAAAA